GACGTCGGCGACGAACATGTACAGGACGAAGCACGGGACGCGGTCCGTGCAGATATCGTTCGCGGACGGGGCAACGATCTAGAGCATCGACAGGAGGCAGTGGAGCTCGTACTGGTAGCGCCGGAGCGCAACACGGATAGCCAGCAGTGGTCAAATGGGCATGGCGGCGGCTCGCATGTGAGCACGCCCACGTGGCAATCATTAAGTCAGTGAGAGTCAGCAATCCCAGCCTCCTAGTGCCACGTCACCAAATCCTCTCCTAGAAACTTCAAAAGGTTCAAAATGACCGGGATCTGAAAGGTCAGGGTACATATTTTCAGAGATTTAGATGTAAGGGTTTATTTTAGACCTAACTCGTCTATGATTGATGCGCTCTCGTGTTGATGCGTGTCTTTGTACTACCACTACGAGATACTTCTTGCCAACGATCGTGGCATCGTCCAAGACTCGAAGTGTGTGCGAGTTTGACCAGCTCAACTCTCTTATGCGTTGGGTTGACGTCGACGTGCAACGGTTGCGGCGCGAATGTTCATTCTGTATAGCAAAACTACAATACATTCTACTCCCTCCGTTCCTAAATACTTGTCTTTCTAGAGATTTCAACAAGTGACTACATACGGCGCAAAATGAGTGAATCTACACTTTAAAATATGTCTACATACATCCGTACGTTGAGTCCATTTAAAATGCCTAGAAAGACAAGTATTTGGGAACGGAGGGAGTAGAAGCTAAGATTTTTGATCCCTTTTTTCCTTATAAACTGAATCGGTCATTGCCGCCAGACAAAGCCACCTTCCTACGCATGTTCATCATCACACATCCATCGCCGGGACCTGTTACGCCACGCCGCCGAGACTCCACATCGTTGATGCGTCACATGAAATGCCGCTCCATCGATGAAACCGTTCACTGATCCCTCAAGCCAATTACACCTCCAATAATGACGCCCCCAGGGGGAACGTCACAAGAGTGCTGCCGTCATCCAATCAACTGATCTGGGGTTTTCCTCGGAGGTAGCGGACAGAGGTCTAGAGCTTCTCCACAATGATGCCTTCAAAAAATGGATGACACAGAAGAACGTCGCCATCGCCGGCCTTGGCAACTAGCCGGAAGCAGGGTTTTCACCCGGATCTGCTCGACGAGCCTCAATCTAGCATCTTGTGCACCAGATCGCTTGCTGCAGCGCTGCCACCCCCATGCCACACGCCCAAATCCAGAGCAGATCCAGATAGACACGTCCCACCGCCGGCCACCGCGGCCATGACCGTGTCGATGCCCCGAACGACCACCAAGGCACCCCAAGGCCCCGAACGCACCGGATCTAGGACGAGACCCAGCCAGCCGTCGGCGCCACAGCAGGGTCTTGGCCAGTCCATCTCTCCGCGACCTAAACGGTCATTCAAACCCTTCCAAGCGCCACCATGCCCTGGATCGGCGCCGCACCATCACCCAACCGCCGTCCCGCGCTGAGATTTTTTTTCTGCGCGCGCACACATAACTGCCGCCGTCTCCTCCAAAAAAAGTTAGGGTCTCTTTGTCTCCCGCCAGAGCCACCGTCGGTGTGCCTCGTCTCCGGTGGCCCTAGGGGCATTGGAGAGCGGTGGATCCTGGCACTTGCCGGTGGAAGAGCTTCGTTTTAGATCTTTCTTTTGGTTTTGTTAGGCTTTGTGTCTTGCTTAGAAAGACGCAAGCGCTCATATACACGCGCATACACTCACCCTAGTGAATGTACACCCTACCTATGAGCACCTCCGAAAGAGTAAGCCGGCATATCATCTTAAAATTTACGAAGTCATTGTAGGCACCTTGTCGTCGACTTGAACCCTGATGGGCTGGGGATACTACAGTCTCTCTAACCATCCAACTACATATTGGTTCGTAACACAATTTTTTTTGAGAATTTTTTCATTCATATCATGAATCAGTACAAAGAAGTTTACCTTTACAAGCACACTGAAACGCAAACACAAAGGACCATGAACACCTAGAGTATCCTAAGACAACCATAACACAAGAAGATCTCCGGAGCCCTGTGTCATCATCCCTGAATCTTGAGAGAAGACCCCTGCAACAGAAGGATCTGCAACCAGTCGCAAGCAGGTCATCATCTTTGACCACGATACAATTGCCGCCACGCTCCTTCCTCCTTTCTTGACACCAGCGCTGAGAGGGCATGAACATCAATCCAACACACCTGCAACAGCCATCGCCATCTTTGGCTTTGAATACCGCGAAAAGTGTCCCTTCCGAAAGGAAGAGAACTCGAGTCATCCGACCGGTCCAGCACCGCGGTCGGGCCATCCGCTCAGACAAAGCAGGATCTCCCATCAGCATCAGCGTAGAGGAAGGAGAAGAACAACAGCAGCAAATCATACCAACAAGGAAGGAGAAGGGTCTTCATCTCCCTGCATCCATCGCCCATCTGAGGACCCAAACGGCTAGTGCCAATGGACCTCCAGACACCAAAGCCCGCGACCTTGACGAGACCCGGGTATCCCCAACTCCGCTGGCTCCTAGACGAAGGCAAAAGCCTCGCCTGACCGCGAACGGAGCCTGAAGAAACTTATTCCGACACGACACCACCGCAACGGCCTCGGCAGCGTCTCCCTCAACACTAACCCTACCACATACCCACCTAGCGAACAGACCCGAGGTTCCCCCTTGTTAGACTAAGTATATATTAGATATATGTGTTGTAACATAACCTGTATTTGTATGGTTCCCTCTTATAAATATATGACAGCCGTACCCACCAAGGGTATCGAGCATTGTTCCAAACCCTAAATTGTCTAACATGGTATCAGACGACGCGTTCGATTCGCGCTGCGCTGCCGCCGCCGCCACCGCGTCGGCCTCCTCTGCCGTCCCGCCTCCCTCGACCCTGGCAACGGACTCGCCCTTCATGGCGTCCACACCGCTTGCCTGGGCTCGGCAGGCGGCCTCGAACTCGCGCCCGACGGTGCCGTCTCGATCTCCCGCACTCGATCCATCTGCATCGGCTCGGTCCCCCGCGCCCTCCGGCGCCCCGATCGTTGCCCCGGTGCATTACGGCGCTGCCCCGGGCCAATCCCACGATGCACCGCCGGCTGCTGGTCCCTATGGCGCTGCCCTGGGTGAATCTCGTGATGCGCCGCTGGATTCTGGAGCTGGTCCCTACGGCGCGTTCCCGGGCCAATCCCGCGATGCGCCGCTGGCTTCCGGCTACTACGGCGCTCCCGTCTCACACCAATACGGCGCCCCGGGCCCCTACGGTGCCCCTGTCCAGCAGCCCTACGGTGGGGTATACCCTGCGCCGTACGTCGCTCCGTCCTCGACGCCGTATGCAATGTCGCCCGTCGTCCCCAGTGAGGCACTGCATGGCGCGGCCTACGGAGCTCCTGGGTCACACAACGCGCCCCCTCTGCAGTCCTACGGCGTGCCCTCTGTGCAGCCCTACGGTCATCACCAACACTCCCGTGTGCTGCCCCTGTCGGCCGATGCGCTGGTTCCACACAGTGCCCCTCCGACGTATGACTCGCAGCTTCCCGCATCAGTGTCCGAACCAAGACCATTCCACTTTGCTCATTTGGTGACGGTGAAGCTCTCTGCTGATAACTACCTCCTATGGCGCGCTCAGGTGTTACCGTTGATGCGTAGTCACTACCTTGAGGGGTATGTCGATATTATGCTGCCCTGTCCGCCGGCCATGGTTCCGGTGCCCTCAGCTGCAGGTGGTTCTGTCATGGTGTCTTACCCTGCTCATCGTCGGTGGATCGCTCAGGATCAGGCTATTCTGGGTGCTATTCAGTCCTCGCTCACTCCCTCTGTGGCCGGCATGGTGGTCTTTGCCGCGACGTCGAGGGATGCATGGGCCACGCTCAACTCCAGCTTCTCTTCATAGTCGTTGGCTCGGTCTTCTGCCATCCGTAATCAGCTGGGTGAGGTCAAGAAAAATGATCTCTCCGTCACCGCCTTCTTCAACAAGGTCAAGACCCTGGCTGATACACTCTCATCCATTAGGAAGCCTCTTCGTGACGAGGAGTTCACTTCATTCATTCTCAATGGGCTTGACGACACTACAAGAAAGTCGTTAATCTGTGACAGTAACTGTCCGTCACAAACATGCAAAATACTGTCAAGGATGGCCGGTCATGACGGTCCTGAAATCTGTCATGTATATCGCGTCATAATTTGCCCACCCGCCCATCCTTGACGGATTTTCATTTTCGTCATGAATTGTGACAGTCTGTTGCCGTCACCGATCTGACCCCCGGCCCGCCCAAGGCCCGGTCCTCTGTGACGGACTATTCCGTCATGAATTTACATGACGTGTAGAAAGATGAGTCCCATGTGGCATCTCCCACAATCTAACGTGGCGCCAGCGTGGAGCTGATGTGGCGCCACCGTGGAGCTGATGTGGCGCCACCGTGGAGCTGATGTGGCGCCAGCGTGGAGCTGACGTGGTGCCATGTCAGGCGATGGCATTCGGCCCAGTGTGGTCTGGCCCATTTATTTTTGTACATCCGGGCCTATGGACCCATTTTACCACAGCTGGTTGGCCTGTTTGTTTTGGGTTGGTCCATAATCATTCACACTCTTGTTGGCCCATTTGCACGTGTTCAATATGCACATCAGCCCATTAAAGTTATGCGGCACATGTGTTATTTTAGCTAGAAAGTGTGTTTCGAGGCCACTTTATTCGGCCCATTAGTGTTTACTCTACCCAACCGAACCCTTCTTTGTTTCTACACAAAATGGGTTTCTAAGCCGAAGAACTTACATCTCCAAATCCATCACAAATACAGAAAAGAGGAACAACATCACAAATCACAGTAGCATTGACCTTGCATCTCCAAATCCAAGAACAATGGAGCAGCAAAATGCAACCAGTTTGCATCCAACAGTGTGCAGTTTGCACAGCAAAATCATTACAAAATAAGAAGGTAGGTTCTAGCAGTATGTCACATTCACATAGCTTCCATGTATCAAGTAGGGACGACGGCTGATCTTGGACAAACAACTTACCCTTGAGTTGATCTTGCTTGCAACTGACTTAGCAAAAAGTCTAGTTTTGCATCCATCTCAGCTTGCTTCTTCCTGTTCTCCTCATCTCTCTTCCTGTGCTCCTCGTCTTGCCTGATCCTTGCTTCTTCGGACTCCTTCAACTGCTTGGTCAAGGTGTCAACAAGAGCCCGAAGCTCGACATTGCCCCTCTTTGCCAATTCTGCTTGACAGTTGCTATCGCTAGATCTCGCATGGACATGCTGGATCCCCACATGCTGTAGAAACCTTGGCTTCTTAGTGTGGTTAGCAAGCACTTCAGCTACAGCCTTGGTCATAGAGTTTGATTCTTGTCCATCTTCTGTAGGCTGAGAGGCCTTGTTTTCCATCTCGGTCTAGCAATGCAAGCAACAAACATGGTTATAAGACGGCTTAAGCACAAGTAGAGAAGACAACATCAGCAAGCTTACATGCAACATCTTTGTAAGGAAAGCTATCATGCATCCTTTACAACTAGACACTTGTGATAACAGTCAGATTAATCTTTTATCTGTGCGGAGGTGATTCAAATTATTCATATATACTATCATCTACAACAAAGTGGACTATTTCCTGAATTAACTAGAAGTGAGTAATATTCAAATCAAATTATTTCTGGAAGTCAATCAATAAAAATATATATATACACACTAAAAATATAAGACACCAAGGATGGCCAAAACTACAATATATGAAGCCAAATAATAGATTAATAAAAAAATTATGTAATTTTAGGTGGCTGATAGGTCACATGTCAAAGTGATTATGCGCTTTTATTAAAGTCATTTCATCTAGCCATATACTAAATCAAAACTGATGTTTTTCAGTCGCATCAAAACTTATCAGTTGTATGAAAATAAAAAAAGGGTACAATCATATAGGACAGGCTATTACAAGATAGTTAAGTGAACATGTTAACATTTTCAATTAAGATACACTGACATTTGATTATCGGTTTTCAATTTGGTGGAGTAACTCAAACAATATTAGTTCTACTACGCAAAAAGGTAAAAATTGATGGTTGGTAGTCTTTTGAAGCTGACTTACAATTGCAGCTTGGACAACCTCGGTGTAGCTTTTCTTTTTCTTGCTATAGTGGCACTCCTTGAACAAATCCAATGCAGTGGGTTCTTTATCTTTGTATTTGTCTCCCTGGAAACAACAAATATGAAGGCAAGGGAGCATCATACACAGTTACTACATGGATGCAACAGTTTACATTAACCTATGGTCAAGAATATTTCTCATGACAATGCACATCCAGAGCCACATGTTTGACTTACCATATTATCACAGTGCACAGGGTAGTTGCGCGAGCCAGTGGTTTGGTGAAACTTAACTCTCGTAAAAATTGACAAAATGCAACAACTTGTTCTTTGGACAAGGTATATCGGGCCCGAGGCATCACATATGAGTCTTCCTCCTTCCTCAATTGCAACTCTTCTTTAATATTCAAATCTTTGAGATCAATCCTAGCATTAAGTGTGTCCTTTGTCTTACCCTCCAGATTCAGAATTGTCCCAATGAGGTTTTCACAAATGTTTTTCTCAATATGCATGACATCAAGATTGTGTCTCAGCTTCAACTTTGCCCAATACTTCAAATCCCATAAACAAACCCTCCGGCCCCAAATTGGCACATGATCCTTCTTGCTGCCCAAGTCAGAACGCTTTCTTTTCCTACTTTCTTGTTGTCTCCCAGGTCTAACCTTCTCCAATTCTGCTTGCAACTCTTTCTCAGAGAATTTACCTGGCTCATCATTGCTTTCATGAAGACCAACAAATTCATTGTTTCTCCGCAAACGATGACCCCTTGGAAGGAAACGATAGTGACCAATATACCCAATTTTACTCCTTGGGCTGTAAGAAAGTGGGTGTTTGTCACAATGAATACATGCAAAATAGCCTCTTGTGGTACGCCCTGAAAGAGTGCTCAGAGCTGGGTAATCGTGAATGCACCATAGAACTGCAGCATGAAGATCAAACATTTTTCCACTAAGAGCATCATATGTACGCACACCCTCCCAGAGCTCAAGTAATTCTTCTACAAGTGGTTGTAGAAAGACATCAAAGTGCTTGCCAGGTGATTTGGGACCTGGAATCAGCAGAGCCATCATAAAATTTGACTGATCCATGCATGCCCAAGGTGGAAGGTTGTATGGTATAACAAATACAGGCCACATACTATAGGTTGTGTTAAAATTTCCAAAAGGATTGAACCCATCAGTGGCAATGCCAAGCCTAAAGTTTCTGGCATCTTTTGCAAATTCTAGAAATTTTTCATCGAAATCTTTCCAGGCATCACCATCTTTTGGATGACTCAGTTCCTTCTCATTGGGCCGCCTCTTTAGCTCATGCCATTGTGCTTCTTCTGCGCCTTTTTTGGAAAGAAACATCCTCTTTAGCCTAGGCACCAATGGAAAATGCCTCAACACTTTCTATGGAATCTTCTTTCTAGCAGGGTCTTTCCACCTTGATCGGCCACAAACTGGGCAATTGTCATGATTGGCATATTGCTTTCTGAACAGAATGCAATTATTGAAGCACACATGTATAGACTCATACCCAAGGCCTAATTCCTTTAGAAGGTTCTTTGCTTCCTTATACGATTTTGGGAGCGTATTGGGTTCAGGGAATGCTTCAGCTAATAGCTTCAAAATTTCAGTAAATGCACTATTCGGGATCCTATGGTATGACTTCAAGTGAAGAAGCTTTACCACAAAGGAGAACCTTGAAAACTTGGTACAACCATGATAAAGCTGCCGTTTTGCCTCCTTCATCACATCCTTCAAAAAAGACTCATTCTCAGAAGGGTTTCCACCATTGTTAGCATCTTGATTTTCAGTTTCACTCTGAGCTTGTTCTACTGCTGTGCGTAGGTGTTCAAACATCTTTTCAAATCGGTCAGCGACGTTGTCACCATCCTCGGTGTCATGCACATCAACAGGATGTTCAATAACATCTACATCAAAGTCTTCTCCATGATATATCCAACGAGTATATGTACTTTCCATGCCATACATCAATATGTGCGTGTTCACAACGGTCTGATGCTGGTACTTATGATTAAGGCATTCTCTACATGGGCAGAGTATTTTATCATCCTCGCTGAATTTCTCTTGAATGAAGTTCATAAATTCTTTGACACCTTCAATGTACTCACGGGAAAACAATGTACCATGAATCCTACGTCTATCCATCTGCATTGCAGACAAAGAACCAATTCAATCAAAGGTTTACCCCGGCCATCAAATTAACATGTAAAGTATACCAAACTAAAGTATGTTCAGATTTAAAATTATACTGCTTCGCACTATAGTGAACACAGTTCATCAAAAGATTTTTTTTCTTTTGTTGTGACAAAGGAACATACACCACTTGACAAATATTTCATTGATTATTCGACATTAAAGAGGTCTACAAATCAATACAAATCCGTAGCACACATTTACTAGTATGAGCTTGCCTACAAAATCTACGACTACTAGTATGTGAATAAGACAATGCATCGATTGATGCCAACTCAATATGTATGTGGATGAATGCACCCTGAACAACATAATGTACATGGTTCACGTGTCACATCTATTGTGTCAACAAGAAAAATGGAACTAAAATCTCAAATGCTAACTACACTGAGATGGTATTTTCTGAATATGTATCTGCATCCATCAACACATTCATTAATTGGGTAATCTAACTACCTCAAATAACACACCATTAAACCTAAAGGGAAGAGGTTCACCCCAAATTCAGAAGGGGAAAATTGTAAAGCACAGTATTTAGTCAACAAATTCTGAAGGAGAGAGATGATTTCTGCTGGAGGCATACCGTTCGCTCCTGGCTGAGGTTGATGTTGGGAAAGAACGAGGGAGTTTCCAGTGCAGAAACTGCGGGCAGCAACTGGCTCGTCTGTGAGGTAATGGTGGGCGGCGGCTGCCTCGTGGGCACGGCAATGGCGGGCGGAGGCTGCCTCGTCGGCGCGGCAATGGCGGGCGGAGGCTGCCTCGTCGGTGCAGCAAGGGCACACAGCGGCGAGGCGAGAGGCCGACGGCGTCGTGACGATGGCGCCGAGACGGACCACCCTGCCGGATCTAAACACCCTCGCCCGGGCAGTCGGCGGCGGCGGCTGCGCCGGCCGATGGGATCTGGGGATGTGAGAATCGGGGAAAAGAAATACCTACGTCTCAACAGTTTTTTGTCACGGGAAGCAACATAATCCAAAATACCCTGTCATGTGGGGCATACAATGGCACCCACGTATAATCACACTTTTATGTTTTTGGGAAAAACCTATGGTTCGACCGACATGTAGGCCAAAGAAGGGGCAGAGACGCCACATCAGCCGGAGCACAATCGGTGACGGTCTGGATGGTGTATATTAAAAAAAGTGATTGGCCTGACTGAGCCCGCTTGGTCGATTCATGACAGTTTCCGTGACGACAGCCCAACGTCCGTCATGAAGGGCCTGCTGCTTTTAGGCCCAACCACGGGTTACTAATCAGTGACGGTATTCATGACGGGCCAGGGTAAGCCGTCATAATCTGTGACGGATTCCAGGAACGTCAGCAGTAATCCGTCATGGATTAACAAGTTTCTTGTAGTGCGAGGACTATGATTCCCTTGTTGAAAACATCAACGGGCGTGACATGCCGTTGCCACCTCGCGATCTCTATGCACGCCTCCTCAACACCGAACAGCGACTCGCTGCTCGCCGCTCTGTTGGCGTCTACTCGGAGGGTCCATCTATGAACGCTGCTCTTCGCGGCGGTGCTCGCGGTGCCAAGCAGAAGGCATCATCATCTTCGGGCAGCCAGCCCCGTCCGCCCGCTCCCCCTCCATCGATGTCTGGCCGCAAGCGGCTCCACTGTGAGGCGTGTGGCGGTGGGGTTGAGTGTCAACTCTGTGGTATTGAGGGACACTTGGCGTCTCGCTGCCATCGTCGCTTCAAACGAGATTTTCTTGGCATTGGGAACAATGGGAAGGGCAATGAGAAGCAAGCTGCTCTCGCGACACAGGATCCTGGCTTCACTCCATCATACTCTGTGGATCTTTCCTGGTACATGGACACGGGTGCCACGGACCACTTGACGAGCCAGCTTGACAAACTGGCCACTCGCCAGCCCTACACCGGCCATGATCAAGTTCGCACTGCAAATGGATCAGGTATGCCCATCTCACATGTTGGTCAGGCATCTCTCCTTTCACGTACCTCTAAAACCTTGCGTCTGCTTGATGTCCTTCGTGTTCCCTCAGTCACATGTAGTTTACTCTCGGTTCCTAAATTAACTCGTGACAACAATGTGTTCGTTGAGTTTCACCCTTTTTATTTTTTTATTAAGGATCGGGACACGAGGGACGTTCTTCTTAGTGCTCGAGCTCGTGATGGCTTATATGCGCTTGATGTGCCATGAGCCTCTCAAGTTTTCAGTGGTGTTCAGGTGTCATCGTCATAGTGGCATTCTCGCCTTGGCCATCCTGCCACTCCCATTGTGCGCCATGTGCTTCATCGTCATCGTCTTCCTGTTGAGTCGAGTAATAAGGAGTTTCTAGTGTGTGATGCCTATCAACAAGGCAAAAGTCATCAGTTGCCTTTTTCTGTATCGAGTCATGTTGTCACGGCTCCTCTTGAACTTGTGTTTTCCGATGTATGGGGCTATGCCCAAACTTCTGTCAGTGGTCACAACTATTATGTCAGTTTCATCGATGCTTTCAGTCGCTTTACTTGGATTTATCTTATTAAGCGCAAATCTGATGTGTTTCATGTCTTTATGCAATTTTAAGCACATGTTGAGCGATTGCTTAAGCACAAAATCATCCATGTTCAGTCAGACTGGGGTGGTGAGTATCGTAATCTTAACACCTTCTTTCAGAAGCTTGGCATCTCACACCATGTATCTTGTCCTCATACACATCAGCAGAACGGTGCTGCTGAGCGCAAGCACCGTCACATAGTTGAAACTGGCCTAACACTTCTTGCGCATGCCTCTGTCCCGTTTCGGTTCTGGAGCGATGCCTTTTTTACTGCCTGTTTTTTGATTAACAGGATTCCCACACGACTTCTTCACATGAAGTCTCCGCTGGAAGTGTTGCTCAATGAAACTCCTGATTACTCCCTACTCAAAGTGTTTGGTTGTGCTTGTTGGCCACATCTTCGTCCGTATAATAAGCATAAACTTGAGTATCGGT